ACCCTGGCCGGGCTAACAGGACACCCGGAGCCCTTGGATGGGAGCCTTGGTAGGAGCTGCCCATCCTGGGGACTACGAGGGGCTCGATCTCCCCGGCCCACCCAGTCCCTGGCCCCTCGACCAGCTGCCATTGGGGGCATGACAGGGGCTGGTGCTGACTCCATCAGGAGCGGGAGTGAGAGCCAGCGGCTCCATCCACCTGGGGTGCTGGGCAGCTGGGGACAGCGACGCCTCGGGGCCGCCTTGGTGTGACTGTGCAGGGAGCCGGGCTGGTGCCCCCGGGTGACCCCTCTGTGCCCGTCTGTGCCCTGTGGGTGGGCCGGGCTGGTGCCCACGGGTGACCCCTCTGTGCCGGTTTGTGCCCCACGGGGGAGCAGGGCCGGTGCCCACGGGTGACCCCTCTGTGCTTGTCTCCTTCAGGTCTACACCATCATCTCAGTCCAGCTGCTGGTGACCGTGGGCATCATCGCCGTGTTCACCTTCGTGTGAGTCTCACCTTGTCCTGAGCCCTGCCCTCGACGCCAGCCCCCAGCAGCTGCTGTCCCAGGGGCTGGTCCCTGCTCCACGGGGCCCCAGGAGCTGGGACGTCCCAGGGACTCTCGGGAGGAACGAAGCCGTCTGCCCCCAATGCCCCATCCCCCCCACTGAGGGGAGGGGCCAGAGCCTCGCCAGGGGATGGAGGAGACGGGCACCATCTCACAAGGGATGGGGAGCCCCACCCCGGGGCTGTTTAAAGCTGGGCTGGGTGCAGCCCTGTGGGACGGGCTGTGGGGGGTGCCCTGCCCTGGCAGGAGTCGGGATGGATCCTGGCGGGTTTGTCTGGGGAGCTGGGCACAGAGCAGGGCTGGGTCCTTGCTCCCAGGCTGGGGCCCCCATAGCTGGTCTGCGCTGTGTGGGGGGCAGGCAATGGCTTGGGGGTGATGACGAGCGGGGAGCATCTCACTTCCCAGCCTTCCCTGCTCGCTAGGGCCCGTGGTGTGAGCACCAGGGGGTGGAGACCGCGGGGGAGCAGAGAAGGGGCCATGTGGTGACGGGTGTAGCCAGGAACCGATCTCACGCTCTTCTCCCTCTTCACAGCTCCCCCGTTCGCAACTTTGTGCGGCGGAACGTTGCTGTGTACTACTGCTCTTAGTAAGTATCACTCGGCCCTGGCCAGCTCCCCTCCCTGCTCATCCCAGGCTCACCTGCCCTGTGGCTGGGCCCCTGTGCGAGACCTGGCAGAGTCACCACCGCTCTGCCAATGGCCTCCCTGCTGAGTGCCACGAGGCTTCTGGTGCCCCATGCCAGAGGCAGGGGGTGCTGTGTGGGGTGGCATGGGCAGGGAGAGGGGCAGTTAATCACAGCTCGCTTTCTCTAAGGCAAAAAACAAGGAAACTACGTGCATAAAACTCTGTGACAGCCATGTTCCAGCTGAGATCTGGTCTCGGGTGGGAACTCTGGCTCTTCGTGCAATAATGACTAGTCATGCCACTGTATCAGTTAAAGCACGAAGGTTTGGATTTACAGAGGGAGCATTGTCTAATGGTTGGAGCATGAGTCTATTGGCGCTGTCTGCTCAGACTGGCTCTACCACATCATCTGACCTCAGGGGAGCTGTTTCCCGGCTCGGTGCCTCAGTTTCCCCTCTGTGCAATGGGAGTAATGCTTCCCTACTGCCGAGGCGCGATGTGAAATGTAACGAATGACCCTCGGCCCTTCTGCTGCCGGCACGAGGCTCCGACTGGCCCCGGGCCGGGTGGGCAGCAGGGCTGGGAAGGGTCCCAACCTCTGTGTGTGTGTGTGTC